CATCCATAAAATCAGTAATCTTGAGATGCTCTTTCACAAATTGCCACATTGTGAAACAATACCTTACACGTACCCAAGAAGTGAGCAAAAAACAACAATAGCATAAAAAACAGTGCTAACGTGGTCGAATGCCCAAGTATCTGAATGTGGGACTGAACAAGCTAGGTGACGAACAGATCTGTTTTGAATAGCACAACGAACAGCAACACCGTGATGGATGAGAAAAGCCAGATTACAAGAACGGAAAATCGACAGACTCCCATGTATACATATGACCTATAGTTGAAACGATAACGAACACCATAAATCGCGGAAATAATAGTGTGATAAACTGGACAAGGATGTGCGGGTCACTGAACATTTTGGGGCAGATGACCTGAGTATGAGATGCCACTCAGCATTTCTCGTGACTCCTACAATCGGTAAGTCTTTGAGATAGTCTAACCAACCCATCGGTTAGCTGCTTTTCCGAGCATTCTCGTTTTACATGAATATGGCGTTTATCGATCACTCATTCAAGTATTCACCACATACAAACAATGGGACATGATAATGAATGCTTCCCGAATATAGGTAAGCACGCGCCTTTCGCGGCATACTGAAGGCATATAGCAGTAGTTTCTTTATTTGGGAATATTACTTTGTGGACGCTGTATAATTTTTCTGGGAAACGATAAACTTGATCGTTTGTCCGCAATAATTACAAATGAACTGGTCGAAGGTTGGAGGTGCACTCTGCGACACTTTCTATAAGGACCTCTACAACTGATTCTGCAGCACTTCAAAGTCTAGTACCTCAAACTATTATTGATTTTCCTGACAGCTCCAGTGCCCGCCCTGTAGAAGAAATAATCGAGCTGAAAAACTGGCGGTAATTGGAACGAGTTTGAGATAAAAACTTTACATATCTGCCAATGAGTTTTCTTAACGAAGAGACCAACAGACGATGGATTCTGACAGTGATGAAATCATGCTGACGATACAGCACGTCAAGCCTAAACTACCGC